CAAGACCATTTCTCTGTATTACCCTGGTCTCCAACCTAAGTTTGCTGCCTTAATTATAAGGTTATTTTGTTCTTGCTTATATTTCTCTCTAGTTTTCATTATTCCTCTGATCATTGAGAGTAGCTCATGATTTATTTACTAAACATTGTGTGTTCTTATTCAAGCTCAAAGCAGCCTGTAGGTACTGGGGTTGGTTTTTGTTGGATGGTTCCCAAGCTTGAAGCTCTGCTAAGCACTTCATCCATGAGAGTTAATCCCTGTGACAAGCTCTGAGGTGAGTACAGCCCTAAACATGTGGGTTGTGAGACAGCAGGCATGTTCTGCTGGACTTCTATGGCATTCTTAAATTTAAATTTTTGTCATAAATTAAAGGTCAGATTTCTCATGGAAATAGATTGTTTTGGCTTATCTTGAAAAATAAATTTAGGCAATACAGAACCATCCCCACATTCCCCAACCCCTGTAAATAAATTATGGTTCTTGGAAATCCTTGAAGTCCCTTTGCCCTTCCTGAACTCACTGTGTAGACTAGGCTGGACTCATACTCAGAGATTCGCCTGCTTCTGTCTCCTGAGTGCTGGGATTAAAGGCATGATGCATCACCATGCCTGGCTGCCTTCCCATCTTACTCCTAAGCCACTAGTCAAATGATTATTTGTGGTACTACCTGGATGCTAGAGGCATCATTGGGATTTATTGTTTTTTATTTGTTTATTGAGACAAGGTCTTGCTATGTGGCTTAGGCTGGCTTTCAACTCATGATAGTCCTGCCTCAGTTTCCAAAGGGATTAGAGGTAAATGCCACCATCTGACTCTGTCTGGGTTGTTTTGTTCTTTGTTTTTGTTTTTGAGACAGGGTCTCATGTAGCCTAGGCTTGTCTCAAACTTGCTATGTAGCCAAGAATGGACTTAAACTTCAGTGCTCCTGCCTCTGCTTCCCAAGTGCTGGGGTTACAGGTGTTCAAAATCACACGTCTTATGTGTCTGCTTATTCCCTCATGTTTTCCAGGAGCCTTTCTGAGCTCTTTCAGAGGTGACCCACACAGCAACTGTGGTAACCTCTCCCTGATGTGCTCTGCTCCTAAACACAGCCATAGAAGGAATTCTCATTCTCTAAAAGGGGGTAGTTAATATTTTGTATATAGTAAGTGCTCAATAAATACTCTCCAATTAAATAAATGCTCAGACTTTATCTGGTCTAGTCCAGGTGACCTTAGCATGAGATCTAGATCTCTGGACACCCCCTCCCTCAATACACCTGCAGTGGCCCCTTTTGTCAGTGTAGAACTTTTCTCAGGAGTTAGAACACATCACTATTTTGGACTTGGTGCACTCTAGGGACTTCGTGGACTAACTTGGTCTTTTTTACTTCTTTACCCTTGCCCTGTACACTCAGCTCTGCTCCTAGTGGGCTGAGTACACTTTGTCATCTTTTCCAAGACCCCCTTTTGAAATTGTGTCATCTTACAGATGTCTCTGACTTGAAAGTGGTATTAAACTACATCCCTCTTCACCTTGAAGATTCCAGACACCTGGGAACACTAACCAGAGACAAATGCCAGGGCAAATTTCATTTTTCAGATTGACAGAAGAATCAAGAGTCAAGCCAGATCCCAGAATTTGTCAAGCATATTTAAGTCCTAGATCAGAATTTCACCTGGAAAGCAAGCATGAGTGCAGGGAATATGGGTCCAGTGTTGCCCCATGTACTGAAAAAAAATTTTTTTTTTGGTCTTTTTTGAGACAGGGTCTCCCTGTAACCCCAGCTGACCTGGAACTCACTATATAGACCAGGCTGGCCTTGGACTCTCAGAGATCCACTGGCCACTGCCTCCTAATTGCTCGGATCAAAGGCGTGTGCCACCACGCCCAGCCCTTTGTTCTGATTTAAAACAACTGGGGGCTGGAAAGATGGGGTTAAAACAGGGGTTTTAAACACTAGCTGTTCTTGCAGAGGACCTAAGTTTGGATCCCAGCATCCACACTAGGGGATCTAATGCCCTTTTCTGTCCTCTGTGGGCATTGCCTGGAATGGGGACACATTCATGCAGGCAAAACACTCATACACATAACAAAAATCAAAAAAAATAAAAAAAATATTTTATTTATTTTTTTTATGTTATGTGTATGAGTGTATTGCCTGCATTTAGGTAAGTGCACCCATTGTGCAATGCCCTCGGATCCCCTGGAACTGGAGTTACAGACAGTTGTTAGCTTCCATGTGTGTGTTGGGATTCGAACCTGGGTCTTCTGCAAGAACAATCAGTGTTCTTAACCACTGAGCCATCTTTCAAAAAAATTTTAAAAATATTTTATTATTATTATTATTTTGGTATTTTTGAGACAGGGTCTCCCTGTAGCCCCAGCTCTACTGGAACTCACTATGTAGACCAGGCAGGCCTTGAACTCACAGAGATCCATCTGCCACTGCCTCTCAAGTGCTGGAATTAAAGGTGTGCGCCACCACGCCTGGCCCTTAATATTTTATTACTTTTATTTTATGTGGATATGTGTATTGCCTGCATGTAGATAAGTATACCCACGTCATGCAATACCTGCAGAGGACAGAAGAGACTGTTGGATCTCCTGGAACTGGAGTTATGGACAATTGTTAGCTGCCACGTGGGTGCTGGTATTTGAACCCGGGCTTCTGCAAGAACAGTGTTCTTATCCACTGCCATCTCTCCAGCCCCCTACCAAAAAATTTTTAAACAAATAAAATTTTTGTGTGTGTGTGTGCAGGTAGGTGTCAGAGGACAACTTTGCAGAGTCAGTTCTCTCCTTCCACCTTTATCACCTTTATGTCATTTCCACGAATCAAACTCAGGTCACTAGACTTCCACAGCAAGTACCTTTACCAAGCCATCTTGCCTGCCCAAGTATTCTGATTTTTTTTTGGGGGGGGGTCTTTTTGAAACAGGGTCTCCCTGTAGCCCCAGCTGGCCTGGGACTCACTGTGTAGACCAGGCTGGCCTTGAACTCACAGAGATCTGCCTGCCTCTGCCTCCCGAGTACTGGGATTAAAGGCGTGTCCCACCATGAAATGCTAATGTTCTGATTTTTTAAAAAAGTCACCAGGCATGGTGGCTCAGGCCTTTAATCCGAGCACTCAGGAGGCAGAGGTAGGCAGAGTTCTGTGAGTACGAGGCCAGCCTAGTCTTCACAGAGAAACTAGGCAAAAATTTAAAAAAAAAGAAACATTGCTGGGTGTGGTGATGCATGTCTTTAATCCCAGCACTTGGGAGGCAGAGGCAGGCAGGCAGGCAGGCAGATCTTTGTGAATTTGAGGCCAGCCTGTTCTACATAGTGAGTTCCAGGCTAGCAGGGCCTACAGGGAGACCCTGTCTCAAAAAGACAAAAAAAAAAAAAATCAACTTTAGAGCCAAGAATGTGGCTCATCAGTACAGTGTTTGCTTTGCACAAGTGAGACCCCAAGTTCCATCCTGAGCACCACACAAACACAAATCACTTTTTTTTCCTTGTCTTTTTGAGACAGGGTCTCCCTGCAAACACAAATCACTTTCATAAGGAATTCTGATGTTTAATGCTGGAATTAACTTTTTATTTATTTGATTTAATTATTTTTTAAAGAACTGGAGATTAAACCTAGGGCCTTGCACATGCCAGACAAATGCTACATATATGTAAATACACCAAGTATGTACGTAGTGCCCTTGAAGGCCAGAAGAAGGTGTTATATCCCCTGAACTGGAGTTATGAGTGTTAGCCACTATATGGGTGCTGGGAACTGAACCCAGTAGGTGCTTTTAACCAACAAGCCATCTGTCCAGCCCTATCCTAGCCCTTTTCAAACTTTTTATTTTGAGACAGCTCTCACTAAGTTGCTCAGGCAGACCTTGAACTTTTGATCTTCCTGCCTCAGCCTCCAGAGTACTTGGGACTGCAGGCCTCTGTCATCAAGTCTAGCAAATTTAAAACAAAATTAAGCCCTGTGACCCCACATGGCATACCTGTAAACTCATGCAGTGACTAGTAGTGGTATTTTTCGTGGTTCATTTTTGGGGGTCTTGCCATGTAGCCCTAGCTCATGTGTAACTTACTGTGTAGCCCACCCAGGCTGACTTCAAACTCTTGGCAATCCTCCTGCCTCAGTTTGCTGAGTACTAGAATTATAGGGACAAGACACCATGTCCAGCTACTTGTGGACTAGTGGTTTATGTTTTGGGGTGAAGGATCAGTCTCAGAAGACTTGGGTGAGCCAAACCCAAGCCAGCAGGCACAGGATGAACTCCTATAGGAGATTTCCTGGACACTAACTCCAGGACTGGGACCCCACCACTTTCCCAACACCCCCATGCCCTGCCCAAGAGAAATGGTTTCCCACAGGAATAGGAAGCACAATCATTATCCTCCCCATTCTGTGCCTTAGTTCTCAGGGTCTAAAGAGCTACAGAGTCTGGCAAGTGGCATCAGGATTTGGGACAACGTGGACAGCTGGGTTAGTTGCTTTAAAAAAAAAAAGTATTTTATTACTTCTTTGAGAATTTCATACAATGTATTTTGATCATATTCACTTCTCACTCCTCCCCGTAACTCCTCCCAGATCCACTCTGGGTCAGCCTCTTTACCCCTGTGTTACCGAGCCCAAGTGGGCCTTGAAAATCCAATTTGTCCCCCATCTTCCAAACACATAGGGCATTAACGTGGGCTATAGGAGGTTCCTTATTTCCTCAGTGCACCCAGGGAGAATTTTGTTTCTCTTGGGGGACCCAGAGGACCTCCTAACCTTGGAATCTTAAATCTAGCGACCCCCCCGCCCCCCGGAGGAGAGCTTGTGACTTTCCGAAGCGGGTGTACTGGAAAGAATGGCCCTGCCCCCTCCACCCAGCAAGGTGCCACTCCTCCTTTAAGGATGACTGTAATGCTGTCTTTGAATCCTCAAATACCCAAATCTGTCCGAAGATGCATCTTCCTGTTTTTCTGTTTCGGTGCTTACAGATTCTGTTAGAGTTACCATCATGAGCCAGAACTGCGGGTCTGCCCCTCCCTGCAAGCCAAGAACAAGCGCAGTCCAGGCTGGGGACCCCAGACCCGGAACCCTTGAAGCTGGGAACTCTATAGGACTGGAACTGAAGTGGGGAACGGGATCTGGGAGGGACTTCCTGTTGTCCCTAATCCCGGCCTCCACCCAGCTCCCCCACCCACTCAGTGCTGTCTGCAGAGGCTTCCTTCCCCGGGAGGGGGGCTCCTTATCGCCCCAGGTACCCTCTCCGCCTCCACCTGGGTGAGAAAGGGATGATTAAGAAAGTACCTGGAGAGTGGCTTGGGGCCAGTTTGCAGAAGGGGACGGGGCAAAGGTAGAACGCTTCGGGCTGGCAGAATTGGGAAGAGGACATGGCCCACCCATCCTGACCGGGATCAGGATGGACACATGGAGATGGGCAGTTGCAGCTGTCAAAGAATGCTGATTGTCACAGCTGATTGGTGGATTCCAGGCGAAGCTCTGGGTCCATCTGGGACACAATGTGCATGTCCTGGGGCCAGTGGGTCCTGGATTCCCCTGATTGTGACAGGTGGCATCCCACCTGAAGAACTTTCTCGATGACAAAAAACCTTGATTCCATTTTAGCTCTCACTTACCTTGGGCTGGCTACACTGAAGTATGGGGCTCTTTCTTCAGTAACAAAGGGGACAATTCACAAAGCCATTATTTTAAAAGGAACCAAAAAGCATCATATAGTGTGGGATTCCATAGGGTATGGCAAACTTTATTTCCACTGTGGTTAGGCATGGAGAGTCTCAGGGCACTTTGGATGTGTCCCCAAGACCAGCTGATTTCTTTCCTCTCTTCCAGGCTCCTGGCCAAAACCTGGAGGGGGCTTTACTAGTAGGAGAGAAACCACTTGCTGTTTTCCTGGCCCTGAAATAGAAGATGTCTGCAGACAGTGGACACATCCTTGGTACTGTGAGTGAAGAGAGAGCCTGTGAGGTATGATGGGATTCCCGGTGAGGGAGGCATGCCTTGGAAATGGAGCAGAGAGGATTTTGGAAGCCAGTGTCTGGACAAGAGGAATAGAATCACTGGAGGAGTAGAGCTGGCAGATTGGTTACTGGGCAGGGGTGTTGGAGAGAAGGTGGTACCATGAGAAATATCCTCTATCTGGTCTTTATAGTATTACTGTTCTTGCTATGTCCAGTAAGTTCTATAGTCAGTGCATACACACACACACACACTAGCAGGAGGGGCTCAATGCCCAGAGAACACAGGGAAGGCGTCCACTCTCCACTCCCTTCCTCCTGGGACACATCTCCTCATGACTTACCTCTCTGGGTCTGAGTTCTAGATCTGCTGTACCTGCTGCTTTCTTGTGTGCATACATGTGTACATGTGCATGTAACTGCAAATTTGGGGGACCATAAGCTTGGACCTAGAGGACTCTGACTCAGCCTCAGGCCAAGTATGTGATCTTGGATCAGTCCCCTGGCCTGTGGGAACCAGGTGTGTCATATGTAAAATTCAAAGCACACAATCTCCCTTCCCACCTGTCTTGCCAGGTCACTAAGAGGCTTGAAGGAGATGAGTGTGAGAGTCCTCTGTAAGCACTTTGCCAGCCTGTAACTGATGGTTATTGTGATGCATGAAACAAAAACACCTGACCACTAAAGCCTACATCAGAGGAACCTGGATCCTCCCACCTAGATTTGCAGTGGTTATAAATATAAATATAAATATATATATAAATATAAATAGACACTAGTACTAGTGCCACTTTTTATGATGTAGCAGCTCAAGGAATTGTCAACAATGTTCAGTGTCCCTTCCACAGCAGCTTCATACATCAGCATTCTCTGCTGATGTCAGATTCTGTCAACTGCACACTGATGGAGTAACAGTAATAATTACTTGTGCCGCTCTTTGTTTATCTAGACCCTTCTGGTGAGGAAAACTGTCTCTCATTTAACCATGTGCCCCTCATAATAATTTTGGGCAGCTAAGTCTAGGCCACTGATCAGTCAGAAGTATGGTTGGATCTGGCACCCAGACACTCTTAAGTGTCCCAGACAAATGGGGGAGGTGGAAGGGGAATGGATGAAAACTTCCAGTAGGTCAGCTGGTCACCATGTTGTGGGTAGGACTCACAGGGGAGTGTGTGTGTGTGTGTGTGTGTGTGTGTGTGTTTGTATGTGTCGGGTGTGTATGGGGTGTGTGTGTGTATGTATGGTGTGTGTGTGTTTGTATGTGTGGGGTGTGTGTGTATGTGTGGTATGTGTATGTGTGTGTGTGTGTGTGTCCCACCTAGTGCAAAGCAAATGTATTGCCGAAGCTTTAGATCCCGGTGATTTTGGACCCTTGTTTTTAGCCCAGTCCTGAATGTGTTGACTTCCTGTGGCTGCCTAATAAGTTTCTACAAACCAGGAGGCTTAAGATCACTTTTATTTATTCTCTCACAGTCCTAGAAGACTTTGAGGAAGAATACTTTCTTCCCCATTTCATGGCTCTGGTTACTCCTTAGCTTGCATATGGCTTCACCTCAGTTTCTCTGTGCCCTTATTGTTTTGTTTTTAGATGGTGTTGGGGGGATCAGACCCAGGGCCCTGAGTCTATCACTCAGTTACACTTCAAGCCCTGTGCCTTTGTGGGGTGGTGTGTGTGTGTGTGTGTGTGTTACTGGAGACTGAACCCTGGACCTCATGAGTGCTACATAAACACTCTCTTACTAAGCTACATCCCAAGCCCCCCTTTGACTTTTTTTATTATTATTAAATGTTTTGAACAGCTGGGGCTGCAGGGAGACCCTGTCTGAGAAAGACAAAAAACTTTTTTTTTTTTGAAGCTTTAGGGCAATTTTATTAGAGTTTAAAAGAAAAAATCCTTAGGGCAAACAGGCTATAAATCTTAGTAGCTGCCCTGAGGAGTAAAATGGAGGCGAGAAGGAAAAAGCCATAAAGCTATGCAAGTTTAGAGTAGGCATGGAGGTCAGACTAGCAGCCGCATGGCGGGGAGCAGACATGGTGGGGAGCAGAGCTTTAGGGAAAAAGTAAAGAAACCCAAAATGTTGGAGCAGCCCAGAGCATTAGGGAAAGCGTGGTTAGAAATGAGATAGAGAAGCCAGGTGTGGAGGTGCATGCCTTTAATTCCAGCACTCAGGAGTCAGAGGCAGGAAGGTCTCTGTGACATGGAGGAGACTAGCCTGGTTTTCATAGCAAGTTCCAGGCCAGCTGGGGTACAGGGAGACCCTGTCCCCCAAAAAACACAAAAAACAAAACAAAACAAAACAAAAAAACAGAGAGGAAAGAGGAGTAAAGGAGAGGTTACACTTTTCTGAAGAATTCACCGAAAACTACATGTTTGTGGCCTGGTCCATAAGCACTGCCTTTATTTTATTTTTGAGACAAAGTCTTGCTAAGTAACTCAAGGTGTCCTTGAACTCTTTGGCAGCTGAGGTAGGCCTTGAACTTGCCATCTTCCTGTCTCATACTCCCAAATAGGTCCCATCAGGCCCAGCTGTGTCTTCTGTTCTTGGGACCTAAGTTATTGGATATAGGTCCCATCCTAAGCCCACAAAGATTTAATTTTAAGATTGTTTATTTTGTTAACTCTATAAAAGACCCTTTCTCAAATGAGGTCACATTTTTGTTTTGTTTTATTGTGGTGGTTTTTTTTTTTTTTGGTCTTTTTGAGACAGGGTCTCCCTGTAGCCCTAGCTGGCCTGGATTCACTATGGAGACCAGGCTGGCCTCGAACTCACAGAGATCCACCTGCCTCTGCCTCCCGAGTGCTGGGATTAAAGGCATGCGCCACCACACCTGGCTTTTATTGTGTTTTTAAACAGGGTCCCATGTAGTCCAGGCTAGCTTAGAACTCCTAATGTAGCCAAGGATGAACATGAATTCCTGATTCTCCTGCTTCCACCTCCCAAGTGTTAGGGTTCCAGATGTGTACCATTGTGTACCACCATACCTGACCTCAATAAAATCACATTCAGGGTGGGCGTGGATTTGGGGGAGATACTATTTAATCCATAACACTTGGGGGTTTTGAGGGGTTTTTTGGTTTTTTTTTTTTTTTTTTTTTTTTTTTTTTTTTTTGTAGCCCCAGCTCTCCTGGAACTCACTATGTAGACCAGGCTGGCCTCTTGGGCTGTTCATCGAAGGGCAAAGGTACAATATACTGATACCAGGTAGGCAGGGAGTCAGATAGGAGAGATCCAGGGACAACTACAGCTGTCTCTGGATGGTCAGAATGCCCCTCTGTGATTAAATATCCTTGAAGCTGTAGTTAGGTTGTTCCCACTATATAAGAAACAAAGACACCAGGACATCTTCCTGACACACTCAGTCATAAAGGGGCTACATCCTCAAAGACCTTGAATTCCACCACACCCGGCTTTTTAAAATATTTTAAAAATATTTCATTTTTATTTTGTGTGTAGCAATGTTTTGCCTGCATGTATATAAGTGCACCCATGTCGTGCAATGCATGCTGAGGTCAGAAGAGGGCATCAGATTCACCTGGAACTGGAGTTAAAGGTTCTTAGCCACCATGTGGGTACTGGGAATTGAACCTGGGTTCTCTGCAAGAGCAGTCAGTTTAAAATATTTTAAAAATATTTCATTTTTATTTTGTGTGTAGCAATGTTTTGCCTGCATGTATATAAGTGCACCCATGTCGTGCAATGCATGCTGAGGTCAGAAGAGGGCATCAGATTCACCTGGAACTGGAGTTAAAGGTTCTTAGCCACCATGTGGGTACTGGGAATTGAACCTGGGTTCTCTGCAAGAGCAGTCAGTGCCCCAGGGGTTAAGAGTACTGACTGCTCTTGCAGAGAACTTAGATTCAGTTACCAGCACCCACCTGGTGCCTAACAACTGTTCTTAACTCCAGTTCCAGGGGCTCCAATGCTCTCTTCTGGCTTCCATGGGCATTTCATGACACAGGTGCACTTACATACCTGCAGGCAAAACACTCTTAAACATAAGAATAAATAAATAAACAAGAATTTTTTTTGAAAGGTAGTTCAGGGGCTGGAGAGATGGCTCAACAGTTAAGAGCATTGGCTGCTCTTACAGAGGACCCAGGTTTGATTCCCAGCACCCATATGGCAGCTAACAACCATCCATAATTCCAATTCCAGGAGAATCTGATGCCCTTTTCTGACCTCCTTGAATATTGCACAACACTGGTACACTTACACACATGCAGGCAATACACTCATACACATAAATAAAAATAATAAATATTTTTAAAAGGTAGTTCACATTGCTGTGGGCAGTATGAGGTGAGAGGTGGTAACTGCCCTCAGGGCACTTTGCCCACTGGCACTGTGGTGGGGGTTTGATGTCATCCATCTCTTGCTGCCTATCCTTGCTGGGGTGAGCCCCAGATAGACAAAGAGGCCAAGCTTCAGGATGTGCTTTGTGCTTGAGTGTGCATTCCAGCTGCCAGGTAGGTAGCTCTGCTGATCTCTAGCCTGGTGGTGATAGGGGCTGTCGTTCCTAGGTTCCAGGTCATGGGCAACCCTGTGGAGATATGGTGTCTGGGCAGGAGGAGACAGTGCCCTTGGGGGCCTCTCCAGAATCAACACACATTAAGACAGAGCCAGGAGAGCCACACTCGGAGGAGGCATCGCAGGAGGACAAGGATCCAAGAACACAGGGCTGGATGCCCATAAGTCCTGGCTCAAAGGAGAAAGCCCTGTTCCTGCCTGGCAGAGGTAGGAGAAGGACGTGCTTTCCTGGGAAGGCATTCTGGGGAGAGTTGAGGGTTTTATAAAGGGAGGGACCCCAGATTTCCACCTACCACCTGGCAGCCCTCTTCTTAGTTTGAATCTGGAGTGAGGTGAGATGGCTAGGGGAACACAGGGCCCAGCGGGACAAGCTGACTGCCCTGGGGACCACTCTCCTCCTGCAGCTCTTCCCTCACCCCAGATTCCTGTGCTTTCCCGAGAGGGAAGGACCAGAGACCGGCAGATGGCTGCAGCACTTCTCACCGCTTGGTCCCAGGTAAGTGCCCCCTGAGGTCTCTTTGTTCTTTCTCCAGCCTGCCCCAGAGCAGAGGCAGGACTCTTTCCTGGCCCTCACATGGCACTCAGCCTTTTATGTAACTGCCAGTTGCACGTGTGACTCTAGGAGCCCACTGCCCTTTCTGCTTGGAAGCTACTGTCCATGACTCATGAAGTGCTGCTGGAATGACCACTCCAGTGCCCTTGTCCAGCCTTGGGGCTTATGGCAGGCCCCAAGCTGGTGGAAAAGCAGAAGGGAGTGGGAAGACTGGTCTGTGACTGTGGATCATCTTCTGAGAGATGAGTTTAGAGTGGAGGCTGTCTGGGGAGCCTAAGCTTTGGCTATGTACCCTAAAATGCTGCTTTATTCCTGACCGCATCCCATAGAAGGTCATCCTTGGTGGCTCTTACCATAGTCACAGCAAGACTTGAACAGTGTTGTTTCCTCTTATCTCAGATGCCAGTGACCTTTGAGGATGTGGCTCTGTACCTCTCCCGGGAGGAGTGGGGAAGGCTGGACCACACACAGCAAAATCTCTACAGGGACGTGCTACAGAAAAGAAATGGGCTGGCTTTGGGTAAGGGTTCATCTGCACTGGGGGCTTCCTGAGGCCTTGAGGGTGCTGGGGCTGTCCTGCCGTCACTTCCCTACTTACGCCCCACCCTTGCACTTCTCCCTTTTCCTCTCTTGTTCATTTGGGCAGCACTGCTCTGTAGAACCTTCCACACACATGAAAATTTCTGCATCTGTGCTAGGACAGTGTCCACAAGCCCAGTGCTTGTTGAGTTCTAGAAACAGGACGAGCAATTAATTTTGAATTTTGTTTAATCAGCTCAGATTGGAGTTTAAACAACTGGTGTGTTGAGTGTGGTGGTTCACAACTGTAATCCCAGCACTAGGGAGGCAGAGGCCAGAGGACTAATGCAAGTCCAAGGCCAGCCTTGTTTATATACTGAGTTCCAGGCCTGACAGGGCTACATGGGTGGGTGTGTGTGGGAGCAGTATGGTCATTGGCTGCACAATTGGACAACACTGATTTGGGATTCTGCTTTTCTTCCATTTGTTCACTGTACTAACTCAGCACAGTAGTTCTGTTTTTCCCTCCCAAAGTCCCAGTTTCAGAGATGTCTGCCCAGTTATGGGTGCTTCATGAGGAGTCACAGCTGCTTTAGGAAGCATGTAGGGAGAGCTTGCTCCTCCCAGGGACTCTGTTTCCTTTGCATTTAAGACTAACTTTTTTTTTTTTTGCCTTTTTGAGACAGGGTCTGCCTGTAGCCCCAGCTAGCCTGGAACTCACTATGTAGACCAGGCTGGCCTTGAACTCACAAAGATCCCCCTGCCTCTGCCTCCCAAGTGCTAGGATTAAAGGCATTCGCCACCATGCCCGGCCTAAGACTAACTTTTTAACGCCTCAGTTTCGGACCAATCTTGTCAGAATTTGATGATATCTTCAGGTCTTCATTGTCATTCATTCACCCATTCATTTCACACACAGCTATTGCACATTTAGTAGTTAAATGGAATCCCTGTGTGTGTCTGTGCAGGTGTGTATGTGTGGAAGCCAGAAGTCAACTTGAGTGTTGTTCCTTAGATGCTACCCATTTTGTTTTTTGAGACAGGGTTCTCATTGACCCAGAACTTAACAAATACTCTAGGCTGGTTGGCCACTGAGCTTCAGGGATCCACCTGTCTTTGGGATTACAAGCATTTGTTACTGTGCCCGGCTTTTCATGTGAGCACTAGAGATGGAACTTAGTCCTCATACATGCCTGGATAGCAAGCACTTTACTGACTGAGCTATCTACCAGCCCTGTGGCCTTGGCAGTTCTATTGGTAACTTTGTTGATGGTCCTAGGACCCCATCTGAGCACACCAGGCACCCTACTCAATCCTGTAATTATCTTCAGTTTGCTTACCAACCAATGTTAATATTTCCCAGAGCCTAGACCAGCAAGTCCAAGTAAGTCCTGAGCCACCAAAGGAAATTTAGTACTCACTTGCAGCCCATTGCAAGCCTAACACAGGCCCCAACCACCCCATTAGTCTAACAAATTCTTTCCTCCCATGAGTCATGAAAGTCATGGCTTCTGCTCTTCTACTGAGTTGGCCAAACTTCCCAGAGCCTCTCAACCCAGGGACTCTGCAGATGGGCCCTGTGGTTAGTGTTCGTGATCTCTTGTCCCAAGCTCTGGAACTTGGCCTGTCTGTACCCCACACGCATTCCCTAGATGCAAGTGCAGCAGTGGGACAGCCCATGGCTCTTACTGCTAGGCCCACTGCCTGGCATCTGGGAAGGGAGTCCTCTGGCTGACCTGGGCAGATTTGCTCAGGGAAACAGAAGGTATAGCCAGTTCAGCACTGGAAAGAGGCTAGCTAGATGCTACACTGAAGGGGACAAACTACTGCCCCTTTACTAATTTAATGTATATATTTGTGTGTGTGTGTGTGTGTGTGTGTGTGTGTGTGTGTGTGTGTGTGTATCTAGGGATGGAACTAGAGCCTCATACATACCAGGCAAGCACCCTACCACTGAGTCACACATCAGCCCTTCTAAAGGAAAAAAAAGACATATTTATCTATTTTTTTTGAGACAGGATCTCATGTAGCCCAGGCTGGCCTCAAACTCATTATGTGGCTGAGGATAACTTTAAGCTTCTGATCCTCTTTCTTCTACCTTCCAAGTGCTGGGATTACAGATGGGCCACTAAGCCTGGATTTTTTTCTTTTTCTTTTATTTAATCTTGCTTTACTCATTTTTATTTTGAGACAGAGTCTCAATGTGTAGTTTAGGCTGGGCTTGAGTTCAGTACTCTCCTGCCTCAGCCTTCCAAGTGCTGCCATCCATGCCTGGCCCTGAAGGAATTTGTGAGTGCATTTTGTTTTGCTTCGTGTTTCTAGAAGCTCTTTCCTCCTTTTGCCTCATCATGTGGGGAGATGATGTCTACTGCTGGACAGTCCCAGAAGTTCCCCAACGAGCACAGCCTCTTTCTGGACAGGGTTTCCCTTCAGCAGGCCTTTCTGGGTTCCTCAAGTTCAGGGGAAGGGCCAGGCGGCCAGCTTCACCAGGCAGACAGGAGCAGAGAAGGAGAGGAGAGGCCTTGATTCAGGTGAGGGCCTTGGCAGGTGCCTTGGTTTGGGGCGCCCCCTTGTGGATATGGGTGCTGGGCCTCCCTTTGCAGGTTTCTGTCTCCCAGGACCCAGTCCTTGGGTCCTTAGCTTTGCCTCCACACCCCGCGGGCTTTCTAGAAGCCTGTCTCCTGCTGACAACTCTCTCTTTCCTCAGGAGCTGTGGAGGTAGGGAAGGGAGTTCCAACCCTGACCATGTCAACCTTCGGGGATGTGAAGCCCACACAGACCAGGGCTGGGTGGGCCCCGGGGGACGACCTGCAGTGTGGGCAGCAAGCAGCTAGCAGCCTGGGTGCAAGGCTGGCCGGAGACCCTGGGGAAGCCAGACAGCCAAAGCCAGCCCCGCTCGGCATGTGTCCCTCGAAGGACAGCAACCCAGAGAAACCCAGCGAGGAGAAGGATGCCCCAGAGAGTGGCGAGGAGGGCCTGAGCCCCGACGGCGACGCAGCCAAGAAGACCTACAAGTGCGAACAGTGTGGCAAGAGCTTCAGCTGGCACTCACACCTGGTAACACACCGGCGCACGCACACCGGCGAGAAGCCGTACGCCTGCACAGACTGCGGCAAGCGCTTTGGCCGCAGTTCGCACCTCATCCAGCACCAGATCATTCACACCGGCGAGAAGCCTTACACCTGCCCGTCGTGCTGGAAGAGCTTCAGCCACCACTCCACGCTGATCCAGCACCAGCGGATCCATACTGGCGAGAAGCCTTACGTGTGCGACCGCTGCGCCAAGCGCTTCACCCGCCGCTCGGACCTGGTCACGCACCAGGGCACCCACACCGGCGCCAAGCCGCACAAGTGCCCGATCTGCAGCAAGTGCTTCACGCAGAGCTCCGCGCTGGTCACGCACCAGCGCACACACACCGGCGTCAAGCCGTACCCGTGCCCCGAGTGCGGCAAGTGCTTCAGCCAGCGCTCCAACCTCATCGCGCACAACCGCACGCACACCGGTGAGAAGCCCTACCACTGCCTCGACTGCGGCAAGAGCTTCAGCCACAGCTCGCACCTCACCGCCCACCAGCGCACCCACCGCGGCGTGCGGCCCTACTCCTGCACGCTCTGCGGCAAGAGTTTCAGCCGCCGCTCCAACCTGCACCGGCACGAGAAGATCCACACCACCGGGCCCAAGGCCCTGGCCATGCTCATGCTAGGGGCGGCGGGGGCGCTGGCTGCATCCCCACCTGCTCCCACCTAGGACGCAAGGGGGAGCGGTAAGCACACCTAGGGCTGGGACAGCCCTCACTGAAGCTAGGGCCCTGGGAAAGTGCAGGGCGAGACGTGCCACCGCAGGCACGGAGTGGGGCTTGATCATGTGGGAGGAGCCAGGGCGAGAAGGGCGGGTACTCTAGCTGTAAATTAAAACGCCTTGGAATTGAAGCTTTGGCCTTTGGCCCGGCTCTCTTCCCATCTCTGAGGCTGACCCCTGAGCGCTGGGTAGCTTTGGATTCTACCAGCTGTTCTAATTGAGGTATCCCTGAGTCACCACTCTTAGCTTGGAAACCCTTCCCTCGCCTTGACCGTCCGGGCCTCTTTGCCAGACGCTCATTCCAGAACATTGGGACTTTTTGTTTTTTGTTACAGTTGAGACAGGAGCCCAGACTGGCCTCGAACTCCTTATGTAGACTAGGCTGGCCTGGAACTCTGCCCATTTCTGCCTCCCAAGTGCTGAAATTAAAGGCCTGCACCACCACTCCCAGCCAGGACCTTTTTTAAAAGTTACCTTTTGGGGGGTATGTGTATGCGTGTGAGTACACATGTGCCATGACACGTATGTGATCAGAGGACAATTTTCAGGAGTTGGTTCTCTTTCCACTATGTGAGTCCAAGAATCAAACTAAGGCTGACAAAGCTTGGCAGCAGGCATCTTTACCTGCTGAGCCGTCTCACCAGCCCAGTTTTTGTGTTTTAAGACCTGGTCTCATGTAGCTCGCCTTGATCTAGCTATATAAATGATCCCTCTTGCCTCCATCTTCTGGGTACTAAGATTACAGATATAAACCAACCAGCCTGACTTGGGACCATACTCTATAAACAAGGGCTTCCAAGTACAGGCTTCCCAGCCTGAAGGAAACTGGGGAAGAGGGTGAGTCCTGGTCTCTATGGCACCATGTCCCAAGGGTGCTTGCTGCCCACTGGCCTCTCCTTTGGCTCCTACTTTGGGAGCTGGGAGTAGGACAGCCTGGAAACTCCTGCTCAGTGATTCCTGACCACCCATTGCCTGCCTCCAAGACACCTGGCTGCATTTGGTGCTTAGCGTTTTTCCATCTGCTTACGCTGGGGCCTTCGGGTGAAACAGTGAGAATTCCTCACTTACCAGGAACCAGTTTCCCTTCTGGTTCATTCTGCAGCTACTGTCAACTTGCTGCTGCTTCTCACCTCCTTGGTATATGTTCTTTCTAATTTGCCACGCCTGTCCCTGCCTGGCTGTTTTCATCCTTGTTTTTAGCTGTCCACTCCCATTCTACTCCCACTCTCTCCTTATTTAAACCCCAGGGTCCAGCCTATGACCCCATACCACAGCTCAGCTACAAAGAGAACATTCAGCTCTTGATTCCAGCTGACCACGAAGACCCTACCTGTTCTGTGAATCATCGGGTCACTATGCTATTTGCAGTGCTGGTTGGATCCTGGCTTCTAAAGGCTTTGAATAGGACAGTATGGGCTGGTTGGATCCTGGCTTTCAGCGGTTTGAATAGGACAGTATGGTAGAAATAGCTGCCTGTGTGGAGCAGCTGGGCTTCCAGGCAGCGCAGAGCTTATGTATACATTGTATACATGGCCTCTATGCTCTAAGACTGATTTGGTTTATTACCTTAGTAATAAACAGATGAAGAAACAGGCCAAGAAAGAAGTGCAATCACTCCCAAATTCACAGAACCAGAGAGCTGGAAATTGGTATTAGATCCAGGTCTGGTAGGGTTTTATGCCTTTTGGGGTTTTTTGTTTGTTTTTTTTTAACTTTTATTTTAAATTTTATTTACTATTTTTATTTTATGTGTATGTGTGTATTGCCTGCATGTAGGTAAGTGCACCCGTGTTGTGCAATGCCTGCAGAGGTCAGAAGAGGCTGTTGGAGCTCCTGGGACCAGAGTTACAGACAGTTGTTAGCTGCCATGTGGGTGCTGGGATTTGAACCCAGGTCTTCTGCAAGAACAACCAGTAACCACTGAGCCCTCTCTCCAGCCCCTTATTTTGTATTTATGAGGCAGGGTCTCCCTGTAGTCCCAGCTGGCCTGGAACTCACTATTTAGACCAGGCTGGCCTTGAACTCACAGAGATCCCCCTGCATATGCCTCCTGAGTGCTGAGATTAAAGGCCTGTGCCAACATGCCTGGGTTGTGTGGTTTTTTTTTTTGTTTGTTTTGTTTTTGTCTCTTTAAGACGGTCTCCCTGTAGCTGCAGCTGATCTGGATTCACTATGGAGACCAGGCTGGCCCTGAACTCACAGAGATCCTCCTGCCTCTGCCTCCCAAGTGCTGGTGATTAAAGGCGTGCGCCACCACGCGTTGGTTTTGTTTTTTTTAAAGACAGGGTCTTGCTGTGTGTCCCTGACTAACTTGGACTAGCTATGTAGAGTAGACCAGGCTGGCCTTGAATCTTCAGTGATCTCCTGCCTTAGCCTCCTGAGGGTTGGGATTATAGATGTGTACCATAATGCCTGGCCAGTCTGGCATTTTAACCTGTATGGCTTCTATTTCTAGGCATCTCCATTTAGTAACAAGTATGTTACATTCAGAGGCAGAACTATTTCAAAAGAGTAAAGTGTAATAATTTTGACTTTCAGGGAAGTTGGATTCAGCTGGAGGCCCTGCAGCATGGATTCAGCTGGATGTGGGTGAGCTGCTGACTGGGACTGCACAGACAGATCTTGGTGAGATCTGGATAGGGTTACTGGCAGGACTGGTTGAATTGTATTAAGGGCTGGGAAAATAGCTCAGCAGTTAAGAGTGCTTGGCTGCTCTTTCCAGGGACCCAAGTTTGGTTTCTAATACCCACTGGACAGATCACAACACCCTGTTAACTCCATCTCTGAGGATCTGACGCCCTCTTCTGGCCTGGGAAGGTACCTGCACACACAATTAAAAATAAAAACAAATTTTTTTTTTTTTTTTGGTCTTTTTGAGACAGGGTCTCCCTGTAGTCCCAGCGGTCCTGGAACTGTGTAGACCAGGCTGGCCTTGAACTCACAGAGATCCGCCTGCCTCTGCCTCCTAAGTGCTGGGATTAAAGGCGTGTGCCACCACACCACACACCTTTTTGTGTTTTAGAGTTTGGCATATTCATAGTAAAAATGGCTGTAGAAATACATACTTATATAACACAACTGTAGACTTTTCCTTCTCTTCTTTATTGAAATGTTAAAAAAATTCAGCTTGAGGTTCATTCTTTAAAATATTTTATTTATTATTTTTATGTGTATGCGTGTATTGCCGGCATGTAAGTAAGTGCACACGTGTTGTGCAATGCCCACGGAACACAGAAGAGGCTGTTAGATCCCCTGGAACTGGAGTTATAGATAGTTGTTAGCTGCCATGTGGGTGCTGGGATTTGAACCCGGGTCTTCTGCAAGAACAACCAGTGTTCTTAACCACTGAACCATCTCTCTAGCCCCAAGGTTCATTTTTAAAACCACCACCACTCCCAGGCGTGGTGTCCCACACCTTAAATCCCAGGACTTGGGAGGCACAGGTGGATTCTGTGAGTTCCAGGCCGGCTGGGGCTACAGAAAGACCCTGTCCCCAAAAGCCAAACAAACAAAAAACCACCGCTGCTGACAAGAACACCAAATAGGCCTTGGCCGGACCTTGGTCCTCCATCTGTGGTTTGTGGATCAATGTTGTATTTGCTGAGCAGTGACTTCTTGTGGACATTTCTGCTGCCTTCTGCAGGCTCCCCCTACCCCCTTCCTTTTTTCAGCTACTGTGGATAGTGTGGCCCTCAGGGGAGTGGGGGTGGAGTGTGGGCATGGTAGTGACCGCTATGCTCACTGCCATTAGGACAAGTTCTATTCCTGTATCCATTCAGTGAAACACTATGTAGCCAAAAAGACAGAAAGATCTTTGAAGTGATAATGAAATTTCCTAAGCCAACTGCAAAGGGTCAACGATATGGCTTACCAAGTAAAAGCATTTGCTGCTCAAGCCTGATGATCTGAGTGTGATCCCCAGAACCCACAGTGAACATGAAGAACTAAGTTTGGATCTCTAGCACCCACACAATTGGCTGGGTATATCTAGGCATGATGGCACAAGCCTTTAATCCCAGCTTTCAGAGGCAGAGGCAGGCAGATCTCTGTGAGTTCAAGGCCAGCCTGGTCCACATGGAGAGTTCCAGATGACCAGGACTACATAGTGACACCCTGACTCAAAACAAACAAAAAAGCAAAAACAACAACAAAAAAGCTAGACATTCTTGTAATCCCAGCTGGGGAGGTGAAGGCTGGAGGACCATGGGAGCTTGCTGGCCAGCTCCAGGTTCAGTGAGAGACCTGTCCTAATAAGATGGAGCCAGGCATGGTGGCGCGCACCTTTAATCTGAGCACTGGGGAGGCAGAGGCAGGCGAATCTCCGTGAGCTCAAGGCCGGCCTGGTCTTCATGGTGAATCCAGGCCAACTGTGACTACAGAGATCCTATCTCAAAAAGACCAAAAAAAAAAAAAAATATATGGAGAGTGATAGGGGAAGACATCCAATGTCAATCTTTGGCCTCCATGCACCCATACATTATATATGAACATATATGCACACATACATCCCCCCACATCCATATGCAGCGTCATAAGACTATACCTCTTATTGTACCTTAGGCTTACACAAGAGTGGGAACACTGTTGTACCCAGTTCGCGAGACCCCAAAGACCACCAAAGAGCCAACCAATGCAAACAGACAAGGGTTTTTTTTGTTGTTACAAGCTTAAGCTTGGGCCCACTCTGTCACCGACCCAGTGGATCTCAGATGTGAGACCCCTTGCTTTGGGAGACAGAGGTTTTTATAGGATTATTTCAGCAAGTTCAGCAAGTAGGGGAGTAGGGGGGCCTCCAGTCTGGCAAGCATCTGATTGGTTGCAGCCCAGTGTCAAACCATAAACTGCTGGCTTCAGGAAATCTGAAAAGACATCTGGACTTTTAGTACTTTCCTGTCCCAGGTTAATTGACCATTGGCAGGGGAGTTGTTCTCTATCTGTTCGTTCCAAGTATACTTTTGTGTGTGTATGTGTTTTTTTTTCTGGAACAGGGCTCAGGGCTGGGTCAGTCCCATGGAGGTTTTATCCAAGATGGAGTCACTTAGGTCTCTCATTCCTCCCTCTGACTAGTACCTTGGGGGCCCAATCATGGGTGCTCCCTCATCTCATGTTCTTCATCACCCAGACTCTGGAGGGACTGATAGTGGGTTCGCATTACCATTAGCTGTATAGCTCCTAGCTGCTCTTTTATACTCTCTCTTATAAAAGCTACCAAATTTTTTAGAATGCAAGAACATAATCAGAATGAGGAGGGGGTCTGAGTAAGGTTGAAATCAAAGTGGTTAACCAAGGGGAGCTATTGAACCAGGATTCAAACCATCCTTGTTTAGCCCTATATTCGTTCTCTCTTCAAACCAGACTTTCTCTAACCTTGGCCAGGGATTCTTTGATGACCCCAGAGTGATCCACATAAAAACAGCATTCTTCTTTGAGGGCAGCA